AAGGACAGTGGTTAAAGTTATAATACTAATATGAGTTTAATAATAATAATAATAAAATTAAATAAAGTGAATAGCTGTCTGTGAAAACCAAGTTTACTTGCCTAACTAAGCCATTTAGCAATATGGCAAACTATTGTCAACATTCACTGTTTCCTCCAAGGGATTAGATTCAGAAGATCTCATTATAAACAATAAAGCCATTGTAATGCATATTTTTTTGGGTTGAAAATAATCTCTTTAGACCACTTTCATCTTCAGTGAGAAAATAATTACAAAGGATATTGTTTATCTGCTTATATGTTGTTGTTAGGTGCCATTGAGTGGTTCCCACTCACTGGAGCCTTCAATATACCAGAATAAAGCATTGCTTGATCCTGCACCATGTTTACAATTGTTCCTATGTTTAAGCCCACTTTTGCAAACACTGTCTCAAAACATCTCATTGAGTGTCATTTTCTTTTTCTGCAGCACTCAGTTTGACCAAGCGTAATGGTCAACCAGTCCTTTTCCAGGGATTGGTTCTTCCTGATAACATGTCCAATATACATGAGACAAAGTCTCACCATCCTCATTCTAAAGAGTATTCTGGCTGTACTTCTTTCAAGATAAATTTGTTCTTTCTTCTGGCAGTCCATATTATATTCAATTTTCATCACCAACACTATGATTCAAAGACATCAATTCTTCTTCAGTCTTCCTTATTCATTGTTCAGTTTTCATGTACATAAGAGGAAACTGACAATATTGTAGAAGATAGCACTTTAGTTTTCAAAGAGACATCTTTGCTTTTTCGTACTTTAAAGAAGTCTTTTGCAGCATTTTTGCCCGATGCAATATGTCCTTTGACTTCTTGATTGCTGTTTCCTTGGGCATTAATTACAGATCCAAGTAAAATGAAATTCTTGACAGCATCAATCATTTATCTGTTTATCATGATTTTGCTTATTGATCCAGTTGTGAGAAATTTTGTTTTGTTTATATTGAAATGTAATCCATACTGAAGGCTGTAGTTGATATTCATTCAGTAAGTTCTTCAAATTCTCTTCATTTTCAGCTACCAAGATTGTTTCATGTGCATTTTCAGGTTGTTAATAAGTCTTCTTTCTATCCTAATGCCATATTCTTTTTCATATAGTCCAGCATCTCGGTATACAGACTGAATAATTATGGTGAAAGAATACAACCCACATCCCTTTCCTTGTTTGGTTTGAATGATTGCCTCCTGGTCAATGTACAGGTTCTGAATGAACACATTTAAGTCTTCTGCAATTCCCAAGTTTTGTATTGTTGTCCATCATTTGTTATGATCCACACAGTAAAATGCTTTGCATAGTCAATAAAATACAGACAAACATCTTACTGTTGTTTTTCTCCTTCAGCCAAGCTCTGTCTGACATCACCAATTATATCCTTTGTACCATGTCCTTTTCTGAATCCAGCTTGAATTTCCAGTAGTTCTCTTTCAATGTACTGCTGCAACCATTTAAAAATTATCTTCAGGAAATCTTTACTTGCATGTGACATTAATGATACTATTTGTAATTTCTGCATTCTGTTGGATCACCTTTCTTTGGTATGGGCAGAAATATGGATCTCTTCCAGTCCGTTGGCCAGATAGCTGTGAGCACTCACAGTGTTATGTTGTTGTTGTTGTTGTTATGTGCCATCGAGTCGGCCCCGACTCATAGCGACCCCTCCTTGGGTTTCCGAGGCAGTATCACTACGGAAGTAGGATTGCCCAACCTTCCTTCCGAGGAGTGGCTGGTGGGTTTGAACCACCAGCTGTCTGGTTAGCAGGCAAGTGTCTTAGCCACTAAAACATCTTAGTTGGTATTCTGCCAATTCCTGGAGTCTTGTTTTTCACCAATGCCTTCAGGGCAGCTTGAACTTCAGTACAGTTTCTTCCTTCAGCACTTTCTATTCTTGATTATATGCTATTTCCTGAAATGTTGACTAATTCTTTTCGGTATTCCTTCTATCTTCCTTTGTTTCCTGCTTTGTTCAATATCCTTTCCATAGAATCCTTCAATATTATGACCCAAGCCTTGACTTTTTTCTTCTGTTCATTCAGCTTGAGAAGTGCCACACATGTTCTTTCTTTTTTTTTTTTTTTTAACTCCAGGTGTTTGCACATTTCATTATAATTTGAGGAACTAGCTGAATTCCTAAGAGCTTCCATGAGAAATAAGGACTGGAGAGAATTTCATTTTAGAAATTTTGAGTTACCTTCTGCCTTTATACAGTTAAGCACAGTGATGCATTCTAAGGGTTATTTTTTTTTCTTTATTTGTACAACAAATAATGTTAACAAGTCTTATCAGCATCAAGACCATTGATTTTATAATGTATTTGCCATTTGATTATACAAATGTACTTGCATTTTTGATCATTATATTAAATTATTCATCTGTTACCATGATGAATCTCTAATTTAGAGTGATACATTAACACAAATAAGAATACCAAAGCAATGCCCTCATCTCCAGATAGTGGTTTATTCTTTGTTAAATTAAGTGAGAATTTGAGTTACAAATATAGGACTTGATAGAAACCTTAATGTTTTTATTTATTTATAGAAACTTTGAAATAAAATGTTTATGCATTCTTTAGTAAGCTGACAGGTTAACTATGAAATTGCTATATGCAACTAGAAGTAGCAAACCAAAGCTGACTACATTTTATTCCTTTAACAATAATACCTAGCTTTTCAGAGACTGTGTTTTGCTCATCTTTTCATTTGGAACCCATATTTTCTCTCTCAATCTTCCATATTTCAGAATCATATCAATTTTTCAGTCTGTTTCATGTGCTCTCTTCTGTAAAACATCTGTTGTTCCATCTAGCTTGTACTAATCTCTTTGTACCCACAAATATTTTAGATGTACATTTCATAGAAGAACATTTATGTTCTTCCTTAGCTTACACTTATTTATGTACTTGCCTTATTTCATTACACCATCCTGTTAATAATGAGTCTTGATTATTTTAACTTATCATCTATTTTACTGACTTTATTCATACCTGTCAGTATTTTTTGTCATCAACCAGTTTTGGGATTTAGTGGCTAAATTTTAGAGGACCGTAACATTTTCTTTCCCCATACGTGGCGAAATATTCTTCATTTTGTATGTAAATAGACGTTTTAGCAGACTTGAAACATTAACACTTACTCATAAATTCCTTGTGGGGAGGCAATA